CAGAATAGTAAACGGCGTAATAGTTTGAGGATTGTGGCCCTAACCTCCCCTTCTCCTCACATGCATGGTTTAAGCAACAACAAAAAAATCCCCAGTAGTGATGAGAGGCACAGGAAGAAGCACTGAAAGCCTGAAACTGGAACTCCAGTATTGCACAAGCAGTGTTACCTTTGTTGTGTTCAAAACTGATATTTAGTCATCTTTACTAGTTTGCACTAGTTACCATTTTTTTTTCAATGTAACTTTGCCAGAATCCACCGCAGTGTTTTTTTCCCCTGCTAAATGTGCCGCTCCTTCAGAGACTGTGTGTGTGCAACGCACGGTCACTGCACATAAGCTTCTGCTAATGCCTGCTGCGAGTAGTCTGACCAACTCCTAGCTGTCTGTTCACACAGTGGTATGCAGAGATTGTGTTAACCACTTCTACAGGTTGTCCTTAACCAGAACTCAGTACATTTATTTTTGGTCTTGGTAATCTGTAAACTAGCTCTAAGGTTACGATAAGGCAGGATTATAGCTTTGGTAATATGGAGAAGCCAACAGAAAAACATTTATTTCAGCATTCAACAACACTGTTCACCAGCAGCCGACTTCCTGTAGCCTGTTTTGCTGCATTTGTACAGCTGACAATATTAGAATACGCTGCATGCTTTCTAAAGACTTCTTCATCATATTGAGTACTTTTATAGATGCAAGGGTATTTTTTATCATTCCTTATTACTCCGCTGTCATTTATGTCAATGGGTAGAAGCCCATGCACACGTATGCATCTGCACTGATCTTAGTTTTGTAAATATGCACACATCGTGTTACTATTTCCACTCTGCCTTCCTGTCCAAAGTTGCAAGCAGCCTAAACCACTATTCTCTCGTCACAGCTCTATTAATCAAAGGAGAAAGAGATGTGAAGAGTGCCTGCGGGAAGGCCTCCATGCTACTGCTCAGAGCAGCACATGTACATGACTTTTTGCACAGAATGGCACTCGGTTACAGCAGCACTTTGTAGTAATACGATGGCTGCCTTGGGAAATTAAAAGTACCAAGCTACAGGCATTTAGAAAGGTTAATGATAAATCACCGAAGGCTGTATTTACAAAACAGAATCTACTTATGTGATTACTGTAAGTTAAATCTTGGCATGGAAAGATGTTTCGGTTCGCAGCAATATAGTTAAATTTTGAATACAGCAATCTCGCACACAAAGGTAAAACCATGCAAGTAGTTACAAGACTAAATGCCAAAACTGCTTGCAAAGCTTTTCATGTGCCTAATGAGTGCATACTTGTGTAATGAAATGGAAGGTATTCATATAGCAGAACTGAAGCAGAGCTTTCAGATCTTGAAGACAGTATCTCAAGTTAAACTTGGACGATCCACAGCCATGGCAGCTCCCAGTACGAAACCGTCCTGGGCAGACGGTTGTGGTTTGGTCTCCACAGATCCCGGGTTTCGGCCATCTCTCACGGTTCACAGCAGACTTGCTGCTGAGGGGAGAGACTAACGGCTACACAGCTGGATGGATCATCAGAGGGCAGTGTTCTTACTCGGCTTCCCAATACAGGTAGATGCCGCACGCTGGAATTTGCGTATTTCTACATGCAGCTAGTCATGAGATGTATTTTATTGCTTTAGGAAACTAAAGCAACTTCCACTTTCACCCTTGAAAGTTTCTGCAAAGCTATCAACTCAAGCGGGAATTCTCACGTAGGTGCTTCCCGATTTTGACCATTCCTTTGTATCAAAACCCCTTTTACCAAAAAAAGAGGTACTGCATGTTCCACAAGTATGCCAAATCCACCTTGTTTTTGTACAAGTGTTGATAAGCTAACACAGGTCCGTCTTTCGCAACTGTTTCAGAGATAACAGGTCAGCCATGGCACAACTTGAGAGGGTTAACTGAGATGGATGCAGAGGTGAAGCTCCTGATGGTGTGCTGCAAGTCACTGCAGTCATGCTCTGTCCATTCAGCTGCTTTGGCTCTTACTGCCGGAGTTTACTGCCAGCTTAGGAACCAGAAAGGACCTGAATGCCCAGAATCTCACTGACTGTAGAAATGGTCAACTCGCCTTCCAAGATGCCCGACTGTCCACAGCTGTGTCTCTTGGAAGACACAAATACGACTTCTGAGAGCTGAGAACTGACTGAGCAGTCCAACTTCTCAAGCTTCCCAAGGAATAAGGCTGATTCTTTTTGCAGAAGGGCAACAAACCACAGTTAATGCACAAAATGTGAAGCTGACCGAGTTAGCTCTGACCGTAGCACCCCCACTTCACGAGCCAAGTTTACGACAGCATTAACTACTGTGCAGCCCTGTTGAGTTGCTCATCATTCCAGCGCACGGGGGGCTGCTGTGGTAAGGTTACAAGTGCCCAGCGAGCAGTGGAAAGTGACGCTGTCTAGATGAATCATGTTTTACTGCGGGACTTTGTGCCAACAGTGAAATCAGAGGGGCCTCTCCTCTTCCTCAACACAAACAGCGTTCTGTACGGCCGTCTTGCCAGCACGGCAAAAACTTTCATTAGGGAGAAAACCTCCAAGACCTTCTGGAAGTTTGAAGTAAGTTACAAAGGTTCATATGGCCAAATCACTAAGCATTTAAAAAAGGTCAAAGCAAAAAGCCAACCACAGATTCAAGTTAATGCTTTTTAGATTCAACAGATCCAACTGCAGTTTTTAATACTCTGGCCTTTTTGTCCTCCCCGGCAAGTACAGACACAAGTCTTCACACGTCAGCAGGCAGGGCCCTTAAATTTTCATTTGAATATAACTCAAATCATCTCAAAGGTCCATACCCTTATATCCAGTTTATTATAACAAAGTATTTATAAGAAAAAAAATTCTGATTGTCTTGCTTTAAAAAAAAAAAAAACAAACCCCAGACATCAATACCAAACACACAGACAAGGGATTATTAAAAAAATTATTTTCTCAAAACCTACTTGGAAGTTCTGATCACTGAAACACTAACAGCATTCTACTAACAAGTAGCCAAAACACAAATAGGCAGCTGGTGTCACAGAAGTTTAACTACGAATGGGCAGCTGAGTGCAGTGCTGGGTTTCACTCAGAGGACTCATTCGGAAAGTCACATAAATCAAGACCAGACCCAGCTGTCCTGTGACAGCTCCTGAGAAGTAAAATATCTTTAAAAACTATTGATTTAGTGTAACCTTTTTGTTCCATGTGTCATTGAATTTGAATCATTCGATATGATATAGGACCAGCACACACCAACTCTAACAGAGTTTTTCTCTGTTTTGTAGTTAAGCACCAGATGGACTCGACTCCCACACCCAGATTGTGTCCAGCTTCTCTTTGCCTTGTTGGAAGCATGGGACTGGCCCTAGCAAAATTTCTTAATCTGCAGGGACAGCAATTCTGAAATATATTTGACCATAACTTTTTACTGGAAAGAAGGTAAATGGGTTGGGTGGAAGATGATAGCATACCAAGGCAGAACTACCTTAGTAAAAGAATAAATTCACATTTTGGTCACTCCCTTCACGCTACTGCTAAAGCAATTAAAAAACCAAACAAACACAGGCTAACCCCCTACTGATTGCCGCCTTAGAATTCAACATAAGAAGCCATCAAAGCAAACAGTATCTTTAGATCTACACGATCTCAGTTCTGATCCTGAAGAGGATTGGGAAGCCCATACACTACTAGGAGACAGCTGAAAGAGGAGGAGGTTGGGCAAGAATGAAGACCAGCAGCTTACGAGGCAAATACTGAATATGCAACCAGAGTTGTGTTGTGGGGGATCTTTAAAGCAGCTACTACAGCACCACAAAGGAGCGCAGTCCTGGCAGTTTAACTGGTGAAAGCTGTGGTGGGCAGGACACTCCTCCTTCTGCCAATTCCTGCT